AAGATCAACTGTTTCCTGTTGATGGGTAGCTGAAGGTGTAGATGCCCTATATGAATTTGCTTGAGCCAATGCTGCAGATGCAGCTGCAGCATTGCGGTTTATGTCTTGATTCACCAGCATCTGAAGGCTGAACAAGGGGTTACCACCAACTCCACCACCACTGCTACCAGAGTTATTTTGCTGTGGATGGGAAGATGGTGGAGGTAGACACCTTCCACTTCCATCATGGCTGCCTGAAGCTTTGGTGGTTGCAGACGACACAGAGCCTAAGTTGTTCCACGAGCCTGGAGTGGGAGAATGCAGTGGTGATCGCCGATCTCCAGACACTGGAACAGAACTTGCCATATGGGCATGCTGTGGAGGTCCCTGTATTCCATGGCCAGTGTGAGGAGGGTAATAGCCAGGACCCTGAGGAGGCCCACTCACTGCAGCTCCTGGATGCATACTTATCCCTAAAACAGATATGGTTTACTAAATAAATACAATTGTACCACTACTAAATAAATGTTACACTATATCTGTATAGAGAGATTTTATATTCATAAATTCTCCATAAGAAGCTAAACACTTCATTAATTTATATCAATAAAAATAGCTGATTTCAAAACTAAAGGTGATAACTGAATTCTTGGTGACAATTCTAAAAATGTAAATCTATATACATAAAGATCTCTCTTATGAGATTTGTTCAAATAAAACCCATTTACAAAATGAGTTTCTTTTCATTGTTCCAGGTGAAAGAGTTGGGGTTAACAGCCACGGGGCCTGAGGCAGGTATACAATTAACACACCACCCAACAGAACTCCACCACAAAGAACTTATTGGTTGATGCTGGAACCACTGCACTGTCTTTTATACATTCGTCCAACCCGAATCTATGTATCATTAGCATAATCAGTCCCAGCACTCACTTGCTCAGTATATGTAAAGACCAACAACTCAGATGCTTATTTACCATTAGATTTGAGTTTCTGTAGACAAGAAGAATGTTGAATACTTACAGCAAAGATGCAATGCAAGCATTACAAAAATATTTAATAACATCTTAAATCAAAAGTATACATTTGCATCATATTAGCCAGTCAGGGCTTCCAAACAATGAACTAGTTTTGAGAGAATGGTATCCAAGTTCTAGTCATCTGTAGTAGCCTTAATATAGCGTTCTAGCACTGAAATATGTCACAACTGCCTCCCACCAAATTTTTATCTTGTCACCTTACATGATCATTTCACACTATGAAACATCTACATTTGAAACACCATCATCAAATAACCTAATAATTAACTACTCTATTTACAATCACATCCTTCTAGTAAGAATGGAACTTAAAAAAGACATTCCATTACAATTAAATGTTCCTATTCTAACCTCGTCCAGCACCATGATGAACCCAGGAAGGCAAATTATGTCCCTGATTGGGTTGTGGTGGGCTTCCCATTGGTGGATGCCTCCCATGGTGATGAGCAGGATACTGGCCCGACATTGCAACAGAAGGTGGAGGGGAGTGCAGAGAACCTGCAGGTGTAGGAGTATGTGCAGGAGAGGGAGATGGGGTGGTAGCTGACGAAGCAGGTGATCCTGTTAGTACAGAAGAGTGTTGGGGTGAGGGACTTGAATGATGCTGAGAGTAATCGCCTGCTGACTGCTGCATTTGCCACTGTTGACTGTTGCTACTTCCACCGTTACCACCATTACCACCACCTCCACTGCTGTTGCTACTGCTGGGAGAGTAACCACTGTGCTGGCCTGAACATACAAAACAACTTACATTAAGTTTATTTACCAGTAACTCATATTTACACTTTCACTTCTGATACACCAGTAACATTAATACAAAACTTACCGTGGTTAGGGGAACCATAGTGGCCAGGCGAGAGAGCTGAGCCGTAAAGGGCTTGCTGCTGGGGATTGCTGTAATTCATTCCATGCTGTGGAACTGCCGGCACTGGGCCAACTGTAGGGGATGAGAGACTGTTGCTGTAGTGATAGCTACCTGCAGGTGTAACAGGACTCGCAGGAGAATGGGGTGAGAAGTGTGGTGGCTGTTGCTGAGAGTAGGTGGGTGAGAATATTCGCTGCTGCTGCTGCTGATCAGAATATGTACTTGAACTCCCTTGATTCCCTGCACATTAGACAACACAACACACAATAGAATGAAATGCCTTAAAATGTCAAGTTTCTTGAAGATCATACAACCTAACACGAAGTGTAATGATGAGCTGCTTCTAAACTACAACTTTACGCAAGACAGCATCACAGGCACTGCAACTGCCAGTTCTATCTATATATAAAGAAAAATGTGCATGACTGCTACCAAAGCATCATCAATAAGCTATATGTTACAGTCTCTTCAACAAAGACAACATCACAACACATCAATCAGCATTGTCAGAAGTAATGGAAGAGGTGGGAGGGTGTTATAAAGTGTGTTGTCACGGAGGAAGTTAGAATGTGGAAGTGGATAGACTGACTGATAACATTGTCGACCAGACAATCATAAACAACAGTGAGAAAACTTTGGTAATAAAGCTCACTCTTATTCAGACTTACAAGGCATGGCCCTACCCTCCCCCCAAAATTGATTTTTGAGTTCTATATTATTTTAGCATACATATGCTAAACTCAGTATAAACAAAGGGCTGCATAAAAGGAAGTGACTCTTCCAGGGGCAATTATATTGGCGGGGAAACCATCAACTTTTACTAATTCCAGGCTTAAAAATAAGACATATTTTACATTCCAAATTTTCCCACAGCCATAAAGAAATGTGTAGCTATATGACATGCACTTGAAAACTTAACATTTATTAACAATGTGACATCTTTGGCCTCACATCAAAAAGGGACATGAATTGATATGTTTCCTGTAACACTATAGTACCCTGGTGATCAACTAACACTGAAAATGTGTCTGATAACTACATAAAAAAACTTAAACAGAATGATTGAACTAAAAGTGAACAAACTCTAGTCCCTTTTCCTTCAACAGGTTCCAATAATATCTTCAAAACATGTTTGAATTTTTCATTCAAAATAAGTATGACCAACAGAACTAAATGTTTCATATATTGCAATATATACATTTACAGGTGGATCAAAAAGGCATTTCATCATATTGCAAACATACAGCACAAATGTTTTAAAACATACACAACTGAACTTTGTAACATATACTTAAAACACTGACCAATGTCCTTGAAAAATTCACTAAAATCCACTTCTCAATCACCTATTTCAATAAAATACATGATCGCCATCCTTGCATCCATGCTTTGGTCTTCCAAAAGTAATTTTTTCCATCAAGATTTACCTTTCTTGTTCTCCCAGTATACCCACCTTCCTGCAACATCCTTGTATTATTCAGCAAATTATGGGACTACTATACTTGCAAACTACTCCCACATCAAACTGTGCAACACCCTATTCATTCTCATTTTCACAGTATATTTTCTGCAGAAGAGGAAAGTAGTGAGGCTTATACTGCTTAATGCTGATACCTTACTTAAATGGTAGATAGGATCTGAGGTTGTCATAGCAGTAAGTATGAAGATCTCTTTCTTCTGCGTTGTAGCGCCATGTAGTGTGGTGGAAATTTACAAACACTTTAGATATCATGGGGAGTAGCAAGAACCTCTGAAACAATCATAAACTTCTACCAGACTACACTGCACTACAACCCAGGAGATCTAAATGGTAGATGTTTTACAGGTTTAAGTATGCATACAATGGCAAAGAAAGTGAGTGACCAAGCAAAGCAAAAAGGTTTATGAAAAGTGAGACATAACACAAGGAATCAATAAAACATAGATATTAAAGTCCAGACAACAGCACAAATATATAGGTCTTAGAGTTTTCACATTCAATAACAACTTAAAATGCATAAACACAAGATAAAAGAAGGAATACTAACTTATAAAAACTAAAGTAACATGGAGCAAAATACATATAAATAATATATCTGAACCAAAACTAATGACATTTGACCATCCAAATACCTACCAACATGTAGCACTGCACAATTAAATATTTTGAAGTAAAAATAAATAAAATAAACAATAAAATCTAATAGAACCTGTGAACAGGTACTTGATGGAACAGGACTTTGGCAGAGCTAAAGCTACATGGATGAATAAGAACTGACATATCTAACCCTGTATGGATACTGGTGTGGCAGTGATGTTGTAAATGTGAGTTTATCTTCTCTATGAGTAACATACCAAATGTTGCAACAAATTATACTTCAATACATTTCCCACCAGTGAAATACACGTGACAAAAATCAACACATTCAGATTTTTGTTCATTGAAGAAGTCTGAAGAGGTAGGAAAGGAAAATATTTCTGGCAAATCTTTACAATATACAAACTAGTTTTAATGGTTACGGTATATGTGGTAACCATATTGTGAAGTAAATGTAAATGAAACATGAGTATTCTGACAAACAGTAACAAGCTGCCAAATGTCAAATGGTCTGAAATAATAACTATAAGCAGACAAATAAATGTTTTGTTACAACCTTAATTTTTTAAGTTACAACAGGAATCAGTAATTTCATATGATTCTGTGAATGATCTACTTACAATGCTCAATGGCATAATATACCAGGATACTTACAAACTATTTTGAAATCTTGATTATTGTAAATTATAATATAATTAATAAACAAGATAGCAATACAATGAATATCTTTGGACAAAACATGTAAAAACCAAATGAATAACATGATTTCTGTAATAAAGGTGGAAAGTGAAATGTTTAAAGTTATAATTCATATGAAACTTTATTTGTAGTCCTTAAAATTTGAAAGCACTTTCAAACCGAACACACAATTAAACTTTAGGATAAAAATATAATAGTGCATATGCATATGAAGTAGTTTTTGGATAAGCAGCATATTTGTATATGTTATTTATTTTGGCTTCAAATGAAGAACATGACCAAATTCTACCTTGATTCACAGGGTAGTAACCATATTGGTGCTGCTGTTGTTCATACTGACTGGATCCTGGTTGTAGTGGTGGTCGAGAATAAAAGGAAGGCTCCAGAGGCTGATAGGTGTTTTCTGTTGGATCACTTCCACTACCTAAATAACATATACAATGCCCTCAGTAGCATATAACAGTATTTTCCATGATAGGAATTGTAAAGAAGCAATGGGTGTGCATGCATCTTCGTTTTATACTATTATAACCTCGAGCTGATGGTTCTAAACTATTCTATGTGGATTTATTAAAGGTCAAATAAATGTATAAAACATCTAACGAATAACAGATAAAAATCTGAATGGCAGTGCAACGAAAAACATCTTATCGTATGCTATATGGCACCTAAATCGTCGTATAAAACAAACTCTGGGCGTACCCAAACAACCGGCATGGTCAGGGCAGATGCCATCAGGGTACGGTATCACCCAAATGGAATCCTTTCTTTCCTTCGCACAAGATCGATGGGGGCGAAAATGCAGTCACCGCGCGAACAAATACGCGAAACGTATACTGTACTTATCATACATACGCTCTAAATGTTCCCATTAAAATAAACAAGACCACTAAACTTACCTACGCAATGTAACTTTACACAAACTTTCACAAATTTACTTCAAGGATTTCCTTTCTAAAACACCCGAAATCATAAACGCAGGATGTAACAAAGATGGCCGCTAAATTCTTAGACGCCATCTATTGCAATTTATATGAACTTTTTAAAAACTGCTTCTTCATTGTTTGATAGTGGCATCTGTTATGTACTGGTAGAACCTACGATATTACAACGTTTGACGCTGTATCAAATATTGAAATATCGGGATATAGCTACCAAAATCCCAACTGACGCTAGAGTTATACGAAAAATATAAAGCAATATGATGTTGATATTACCAATAATCACTGTACATTCAAATATGCACATGTTATAATTAAACTCCGTTCATTCTCACTGTCAGCATCGCGCATCTGTGGTATTAAAGTTCCACGCGTCCTTGAAAAAAGAAACACAGTTTGTTACCTTATACTTAAAAATGGTCCTACATAATGCAATTACATTAATGTAGTAGCTGTAACAGACAGTACACAATTTACTTCGTAGGCATGTTCAGGTCAGTAATCCAAGTATCAGCGCACTGATAATCTATTTTTATATCGTAGTTATGTTAGTTCAGGTCATTTATATCTCGAAGATGGCAGATGTGAGCAAAAGCTATACAACACTTTGATAAAAATATACGAACACAATCCAAAGCATTCCCGCGAGTGCTGCCTGTACTGTAAAAACGAGTTTTCTTAACACGTAGGTTAAAAAAACTTCTAAAAGATTCTCAAAAACACCAAACATAATAATGGATACATAAAGTGTGGACACCGTTGATTGAAGCAAATTTAATATTAAACTATTAGCAAATCACATGTCTGTCACACGTATTAGTCACGCCCTCTGATTGAAATTATCATATAAATCTTACTAAACTTAAGTTAAAAACATACTTTGCGGCCACATTAGACAATAATTACTGTTATATATGAACGTGTATTAAGCAAGTGCATTCGCCCGTTCTATAAAGGCGTATAGGTGGCGTGGAAGTATGAAACACTTCGCTCCCAGCACGGTCCTTAATGAATAATTAAACTTACAACACATTTCTATCGACTAAACAATTTTGTCAATGTGCTTTTTTGATCTGATGAGCCGGAATAAATAGAAAGTTCAAAATTCAGTGTAATAATTATAAGAAACGAATATTATACGCATTTCTATATGCAGGCTACACTTTATACATCTGAAGTTATGATTATTTTACTGGTACTACTGATTTCAACTGAGCCAGCGTAGCTCAGTTGTTATAGTGACTGGCTACGGACTGGTCGACCGGGGTTCGATCTCCGACGGGGACAGAGGATTTTTCCTCTAGCCTCTGCATCCAGACCGCCTCTGGGGCCCACCCAGCCTCCTATCCAATCGGTACCGGGGTCCTTTCCCGGGGGTAAAGCGCGGCCGGGGCGTGATGCTGACCACTCACCCCCCATCTAGTGCCGAGGTCAAGAATGAGTAGGAGCTATACCTCCCCTCACCCCAAGCGCCTACATGGCTTTACTTGTTTAATCTAACAGCTCACTTTGTAGATGTGTCAAACCAATTACAAAATGGGTATTCCAGCGTTGAATAAGGCGATGAGTGGCGAATGACGTGTAAGATACGACTCTGAAAGAGGCGGTCGTAGATAATTTTGAGGTAACATCTCAGAATAGCAGCTAACCCGACCAAGATCCAAACCGATACCTCCCAGATTTTGAAACATACATCGATTTCATAAAAATATTGCGATTAACACAATCCTCACCAACCTCACAAACACCTAGCACTGCCATGAAATAAAATATAAACATTTACTCTATACCTACAACTTGTACCTGTTGTTACTGTTACTACTACAACGCACATCACACCTCATCACCAAATTGCAGGAAAGAATCATAATACAAAACTGTTAAAATTGCTTCGAGAATGATGCAACAAGTCACAAAGCGAACTCTGCTTTTGCACAAATTTCTATCTATATAGATCATGTGAGTTAATGCTATATTTAGTGAGAGTTTACAAAATAAGTTAGAAATCCAATGTAGATCATGAGTTAGCAGATTGTCATACGATTTCATCCAACTAGGGTCACAGTTTATTATTATTTGAAACTGTAAATATGTTGTAGAATATTGTTATCATCAGTATTATTGTGGTCTAGTGTATTTATTACTTTATTTTTGAAAATAAATTATTTCTTTCCGACTACATGATAAATTTGTTGGACAACCCCAAACTTTTTCACCGTCTCCATATGTGTACTCATCGGTTTTCAAGCAATAGTTCATACATAATTAATGTAAATTTTATTGTCTAGTTCATCAGTTATGGATGTTAAACTAAAAGCTAAACAATTTCATCACCGTTGCCACGTTATTGTTTTACATTATACAAAAAAATAAAAATTGTATATTTTTAATTATCTATTAGGCCTACCATTCGTTACTTACAAAAACTGATCCACTACTTAAGGAAGTGTCTGCAGAGAGTCTCTACATAAATGACGTTACACATTACACTAATAAAGCAACTACTTGCCCACGTAATAACGATGCTGACCATCTCAGTGAAAACGTTCTTAAACACACAGTCTTGACGTACCTACGCGCACGGACACCACAGACTACGAAAATGTGACGTAAGACTACATTTTCCTGTGGAGTTTTTATCAGACACCGTGAAGTTTATTTCTTAGTACAGAGTGTACAATTTAAAACGCAAACCAGCAAAAATCACATATCACGGAAATATTACGAATCACAAATGAAATCAAAAGGAGGTCCACTCCCGCGTAAATATCTCTCCAAACCTCCTCCGTGGCACTCGATGCAACGTCGTCACCGATCCTTGTCCTCAGATAGATGAATCCAGTAAACATCCTCAAACCCCATTTCATGAAGATTCACATTTCCCTCTCATCTATGCTCAGTTCCTCCGGGTTATATTTTCCCTTCAGGTTTCCCAATCAAAATTTTGTATGCATTTCTCGCTTCCTGCATGCGTATTTGATATGCTGAAACAATCCATTCTAGTACCGGCAGTACTGACAGAAAGGATAAGACAACACGTTCCTGCCAAGCAGCTTGTGATTTGTCGTCCATCACTGTCCAAGAATGCAGAGGCAATAACTCACCACTGAAATCTAACGAACGGAAGAAGGTGGAATCTAATCTCTTCCCAACAAACAACACTGAAGACAATTTCAAAACAAACCGAAACTTGCACTGTAATGCAGTGAAACAAACACAAAGATTTGGACATGTATATATTATGTTTATATGTACATAACCACACACGCTGCGCATGCGCGTATAATCGCTATGTAGCCCACTATGAGCGCTGGCCTGTCTGGAGAATTTTCTGCCTGAATTTCGAACCTTCGTTTCAAAATTTTGTAGAACTCCTTGGACCAAGGGGTCGGACCATCACAAGGTAATACTACAACACAGAATGATGCGGACAAACAACCACGCCTCGAGGACGATTCGAACCCACGATTTCAGTGCCCGAGCGACAGACCACTAGTGGTCAGTGTGATCGGCCTTTGATATGTCATTGCACAAATGCAAGAAACATTTAAACGTCAAATTAATAGCACCCTTTCAATGTAGAACGTGAAAAGTTGTTTTTAATTTTGTTTCTATTTTTGGATACCTTCTTACCAGGGGGCGGTGGAAGCGATTTATTTTCATGCGCCCGCCTGCTGGCTTCATTCTAGTCGGCGTGGTTGCCGCAAGTCAAAACGTACCCGAGGGGGACATGTAGAAGGCCAAGGTGTGTCTCGGGCATGGCCGCAACTCTTTCTTAAATCCTTCCTTTTTTATTACTGCTGTTACTTTACATAGCAAAGAGAGAGATGGATGAAGATTCGGACAAGAGGGAGAGAGCGGGAACTTCAGAACTGTAAGGCGAAGGTCAGGGGTTCACGCTGAGAAGGTACGCCATTGTACTACAGAAACCAATAACACGACCCATTGATGCATACAATTGTTTCAAGAAAGCGGGAAGGAAGGAAAATCAACTTATGATCAGGCAGACAATTCTTCAGTACTTTTTACTGTTTCAATTCATTTTGGTCTTCCTAACTGACAAACCTTTACAATACTCTTCTTGGCAACTCTTCGTTCTAGGTAATAAACGTCCAGAAATATTTAATAAAACATGCATATAACAATGAGTTGAACCATCTACATGAACTATACATTTGTAGCAGTGGTACTGGAAACATTAATTAATACTGAATTTATCAGTTTACTTACTTTAATTGATTATTAATCAACAAAATAAATTTGTAATTGAGAATCAGTCGTGGCGCCACCCTCCGTACCCACTTCCAAAATCCTCCTACGCAACAATGAGTATGGAGGGCAGAAATATGCTATAATCCCGATATGGCAACCTTGCTTCTCTCAGCCGGTTTTTGGGGGCTGCCTGCAATGCTACATCGATCCAGCAAAGAGGGGGTGACGGGGACGAAAGAGAGGACGCACATAGAGATGAGACTACGTGAACAGGGGGTCGTGGCACCATGTGCCAGATGACAAGAACCACAATAAACTCTTGTTGTCTTCTCGTGTAATTCCTTTTCCTCATGCACCTTCAAACTTCGCTTCCTCACTTTTCTCAGTCCTACATCATATATTTCATGATGTAATTTATTCCAGGAACAATTGATCAACTTCATGGATCAGTCAACGTTTGAAGAGAGGTCTATGTTTTACAGAAGGGTTGTACGTTCCTAAAAGTTGTGGGAGGCCTGGCGTTTCTTGTTGTCTTTTAAGAAGGCAAGGAAACTAGAATTTTTCTGAATACCTGTTAGGAATGCTGGAAATTGCTATCAAACAAAAAAGTCCCTTTATGCAGTCTTGTTATAAAGATGACGTTAAACATTTTGGAAGTGAGCACTTATCGCCCACCATTTCACACCACGAAGCCGTTGAAAAGTGGCATTTGGCAATACTGCAAACGAGTTAACTTCCGATCTGAATAATAGGCAACATCTCAGACAGAACTACATATTTGGTTACCTAGACCCAAATACGCGGTTTTCAATATAATTACTAAATTACGTATTGAAAAACAAATTTCCTGTAGTAGGAGAAACTTCGACAGTGGCATGTGTTTCTATGGGGCTTTAAAATTACATTGGCCTGCAATGTTCGCATTTTCTCGTATGCTTTCTTATTTTAACAGCTGATCCAGCTTTTCACATCGAAAAGCACCGCAGTACACAACAGATCTATTAAACGTTTATGCTAATATTAAGTAATTTGACTTCAAAAGCGAAGGAACACGACATCAATGGAACAAGTTCAAAACACCACTTTTCGAATCACATTTTCGTTAATAACCGGATAAACAGTTAATTGTAACTAACAAAAAATATGACATGATATTTACTCACCGTACCACGTCGCCAGTGTTCTGCCGGGCATTCTAAATAATCCCAAAATAAATGTCACCTCATACAGTCATAGCAAGTGACGCTTGTTCACACATTGCTATTACGTTTACAATGCCTCCTCAACATACTTAACGCACGCCAGTCTGACATCAACTAATCTTCTCACGGGATGACTTTGGTGGAAATTGTGTGGAGGTGTTTTTGCATTCGCTTTGCCGCAACCTGTCCGGAGATGATCCGCACTAGCTCTACCTGGCGGATCAAGCTCAACTTGGCAAACTACGTCACTAGCGCCAAGCCGAATCGTTGCTAGGCAACAGCATCTTGCGCCCAATGGACCAGACAACTTGACAACGGAACAATGCTAAAATACCCTAGATATATTACTGGCATAATTTGTTTTAATAAGAGATCATCACACTGCTGATAATACACCTATTTTACGGACTGAATGACTTAATGTTATACACAGCCGTTTATATAATTCAAACACAACTTACACGATGTGTTCTACAATTGCTTACCACTGACGTTCCTGGTTCTGGATTCGTCACCCATATCACTTGCCGCTGACTAGCTATTTCATAACAGTAATGGGCCTGCAGGTACACCATTCATTCGCGGCTGTAGACAACGTGCTGTACTCCACCCTGTTTCAATAAAATATTCAAAATTTCTCCCACAACATTTGAAAATCAGAATAACTGGATGTCGTACTCCAATGTGACCAATATATTAGTGCGAAATCCCCTGTTTGGAATATGGGCTTGCAAATGACTGAATCCTATCCCCTGTGTCTTTAAAATACCACAAACCCCTGTGCTTGCCCTACACAATTCGGTCTCAGCAATCACTTTCGACATGGCAAGTAGTAAAGTGCATGGTATACAAAGAGTTATTTCGAAATTAGCGTCTTCTATAAACGCAGGAAATTATTATGAGGCCCACCAGATGTACAGAACGTTGTATTTCAGGTGCGTAAAAAGTTAAAGATGATAAGTGATCTTACAATTGGTGTTTTGTAGGTGCCTCTTTAACCTAGATACTCTTAACATTTCTTTATGTCAAGCCTCAATTGATTTATTTGGCCTCAGGTTTTTTTCCCGGGAAGTAATACCCACGTTTACAAATTTACACTTTATTTCAGATATCTTGGACAGAAAAAATATGGTGATCTCTTAGATTTGCTGTTTGATGGTGCAGTATTATTACTCAGACATGATCAGGTAGGCTTATTTATACTATTATTATTGAAACATGATGTTTTGCTATGAGTCTTATTTACCTTATTTTACTGTTTCTGCAATTGCAGCAAACAAGTGGAGCAGATCTAGCCATTCTTTTGGTTGATGTCCTAATCAAAGCAGAGGCCTCTATTTCAGAAGACCAGTTTAACAAATTATCTCGGTAAGTCACACTTTATATATATACGATTTAACAATTTTTATGTCGATACTCATTTCTTAATATTTTTCTGTTGTATCTATTCTATTTCAATGCCACAGCTTATTTGGAATGATAAGTTCAGATGTGCCAGAAAGAGAAACATTTCTTGCCAACGCATTGCAGTGGTCGGTCAGAGAGTCACATGAGTACAAGAGTGGACATCCACAGCTGCACCAAAGCATAGCTCAGATTCTCTGGAAAGGTATGTTGTCTGCAAGAACTTTTTATTGCACACTTCATTTGTCAGATCATAATGACTGAACCAAGCTAATTAGATCTATTAATCACATGTTTTCAGAGAAGAATTATGTACTGGCTAGGTATCACTTCCTGCATTCTACAGATGGCTTTGGTTGTGCAGCAATGTTAGTAGAACTGCACAGGCAGAGAGGTTACTCTAGTGAAGTGGATTTGTTCATTGCTCAAGCTGTATTGCAGTAAGTATGCCATGAAGTCAAATGTGTATGTTGTTTGCTGATATCATACTCTACATTTGCTAGTGAATGACAGATATAGCTAACAAAAAGTAATTGGGAAACACTCATATAATTGAAAACTAGTTCTTTTACATGTCAGAGTAGTTCCATTAATGTGGGGTTTCATGGCTTTTCTCTTTCGTTTCATGCAAGGCTAGGAATATACATTCTAAATCACTTTTCTGGATATATTTGAATACTTTGGTTTTTATCATAGGAGTTTAAGTTATAATTTGTTCATGCCAACTCTATATATAATTTTTTTCTTCAGGTACCTATGTCTACATAACAAAACAAGCGCTAAGGATGTCTTTGACAGTTATACCACACAACACCCAATCATCAAGAAGACTGGTCCACCTTATATACTGCCACTCCTCAACTTCATATGGTTTTTACTGAAAGTTGTTGAAAGGTTAGATTTATTTAATATTTTTGCAAATAGTTCAGATAGGTGTTCAAGTTGATAGCACTGTATTGCATTTGAAACACTGGATTAACCTTTTTTGTAGCCACATTTAATTTTATGAAAACTCGCTGAACTTGCTTATGGACACAGTGAAAAGCTAGCTTTAGTTCCATGACAATGAACAGAAAGATAAGTGTTGTGTTGTAACGTGATTTTCCTGTGTGCAGTGGAAAGCTTGCAGCTTTCACAGTGCTATGTCAGCAATACCAAACAAGCATTGAGAGAGACCCAAGTTACATTGAATATTTGGACAAGATTGCACAGATATTCTTTGGAGTTCCCCCACCACGTCCACGGTCACAAGGTCTCTTCGGTATGTGTAAAATGCAGTTTTGACATGCATATTTTAATTTAACTAACGCCACAGACTTTTACAATGGCAGTTCTGTCTTGTATTCTATATAGTGTTTAATTTTTGCAGTTACAAGCCAATGCTGGAAGAAAGAAAATAGCATGAAAAGTGATGCACTAGCAAGTATTGTAGAATTAAATTATAACATATAACTTGGGCAACCATACAATACAGAAATTGTCAGTACTACTAATGAAAACAACCAAAATGCTGCAGCTGTTTGACAGTAGAATTAAACTATGTTTCATTGTGATCCCCAGTAATATTCTTATTAATCCCTTACACATCTGTGCTTCTCACTGTATCAAAATCATGAATGCACAGATATTCAGCACTCACTCACCAACCATGAATTTCTATACTTTGTATCTAGTTTTGCCAACTGTAGTGTTTTGTTGTATGTCAGCAGATCTGTGTACACATGGAAAAAGTCACTTCTGCCTCCAAGAAACCTATATTTCCTGGGAGCAGGGCTGTAACACTATCTGTAGCTTCCAGATTATCACTGCAGTGTCTTTTGTGATACTTTTTATATTCTGTGTGTAAAGTATTTATTACATATTTTCTAGTGTTAATGAAGGAACAGTCACCTAAGGATCTGAAGAGTGCTAATAGTGGCTGTGGTTCCCCATTTCCCCAACCCCTAAATTTCCCATAAAGCCTTGATGTCAGAAAGATAGCCCTCATGGTTGGCAAGGGACTGCTGTATAAATATGTTCGGTATTGTGTTATAGGTAATTTATCTTTTTCCCTTTTCTCTGGTGTTAACCCTATGTAAGATATTGATATGTTTGATTCATAGGAAATCTTCTTCAGTCCTTCCTCAGTGATCTGGATGAACTTGAGTCTGAAGATGAGTCACACTCATCGCATCCAAGGGCTTCCACATCACGCCAACACATGGAGACTGACGAGTTGGACTGATGTAATAGTGCAGGATAGTGATGGAACTGGTGTGTCCTGGAGTGGTGGTGCAACAATATTGATAGATGATGTAGAGTCCATCTACTCTTGTAGCTTCCAGTAACACTGCACACCCACCCCTCATTTACCAGGAATTCTTGTTAGAACTGCACAGTGTGGAGAGAATTGCAGAGTTCTAACAGATAAAAAGTACAAGCTTTATCCATTTTATATAGTGTGAATGAAGCAGTACGACCATGGAAGGGAGTTAAAATAACTTAGTATTTCAGTCTTGTAATAGCCCTCACAGGTTTTATTCTGAAAACATTTCTAATATCATAATTTTCCTTTTTATTATAATCCTGAGGTACCCGAAAGATGAAATATGGCATAAAGAATAATATACAAGCATATGTGTGTAATTGGAGTGGTCCTAGTTCCTGAATAGCAGTTTACTGATTAAATTAATAAAATATTGATTTCTTATGAATTAATATATAATGGATATGTACATAGTGTAGAGAGAAGGAAGAAAGAGCAGCCCTTTTTTGGACCACCAGAAAGAAACCAAGTGCATGTCTTACTCTGTTCTTTGAGAGTGTGAATAAGAGGGTTCCATGATCTGGTCAGGGGGGATAACCTATATATCATCTGATTATACTGCCTGTTTGGAGCTTGATCTCTCTTGCCTCCCTGATGACCCTGTCCATGCATCTGGATTTCTTGGCTGGGATACTGGCATCATTTAGCAGAATATGACGGCCTAAGTTGATGTTGCATTTAGCTACTTATGATAACAGAGCCAGATGTGGGAATGGTCTTTCCTTGACCCTGGTTTCAATGGAAAAGCTAGGTAATCCTAAATGGGCCCTAGGAAACTTAGAGATATTTGAAGATGGCTGTCTTCTGGGTTTTCGCAATGTGTAGTCAGGTGCCACAATCCAGAAGACAGCCATCTTCATAAGCACCACTGTAAGAACCTCAAATCCTAATTGAATATATTCTTTGGTCGAATGCCTACCATCTTGACGTTGTGCTTACATATCATCCTGCTAATGCAGATGTAGGTGGTATGACTTTCTGAGGGGGCTCAAATCATGAGGAAGCCTCTTATTTACACTCTGAAGAACAGATGATTCTCTCCAAGAGCAGGCATGCACTTGGTATGAGTTCCTTTTCAGATGGTCCCTGAAAAGGGCAACCTTACTTTGTAGACCCCTGCAAGAGCCAACTTTCCCTCCATCAACCCAGCCTTCATCTGCATCTGTTGGATTATACTTGGCTCCTTCTGATGGGCCAATGTTCCTGGCCTGATTCTCAACCAAACCCTATATAACTCATCTAGCTTTTAACACTACTTATTTCAGCACTGAAGATGGAAGCAGTATATTCCTCCAAGACATTAGTATACAGTCAAAAGACTGAGGCACAACTGTCCAGAAGATGACTGTCTCAACTATAATCACAATAATCTTAAATATTAAAACACTGATGACCTTTCAGCATGTATTTAAAACTGATGCAAAGTGTTAGTCACTGGCTATAAGTACTTGTTTCATTCTGTCACGAATTTGTGTGTGTAGGTTTGTAATGGAATTTAGGACAAAAAAGTGATTGTGAAATCAACTCATTTTCATCTTTTTCTTGAGCTGTGTTCTTATTTGATCTTCCTATAATTGTCTGTATACTATATTTATGCATTACAACACTGAATTGGGACCTATCCAACTACATGTGCATAAAAATGATGTGAACAATTTTTCATATAATTTCACATTTTTATATACTACAGTAAGAATGAAATCTACTGAAGGTTTTCTTTTGTATTCCCCTCCCTTGCCTGAGTGACCCATTTCAAGTATTGTTTAGCAATACCACGACCATATTGCAGGTGGATACTTACATAAATCTGTGTGTATAAAGGTCCCTACATATTATATTACGAGAGCGAGAGAAAAGAAAATGCCTTGAAGCAAAATTTTATACACATCTTTTGTGATACTTCTGATGATAATTTGTTAATGATTATGAGGAATTATCATAACGTGTGAAGCTGCTGTAAAGGCATTCCAATGAGAATTTTTTTTCGGACTCGAGTATTTCCTGCACTGTGCTACTTACTATCTTAATTTAGAGCATAAATTTTAACAATTGCAAGAAATAACAATCCTGACAAACACAAAAGCCAGTGGAAACTGAAATATGAAAGTATAATAGATGAACTGTATGTAAAAACTTTAAAGAAACTAAAGTAATAAAATTAGAAAATAAAATTAACATAAATACACATCTAAAATAATTTTATTGTGTGGAAAAAAGACTTAATTTTATGGAAGACAAATTAATTACTTTTCATCAATAACTGCTGAGAAACTGACACTATTTTTCTAGCTAACCTTAGAGACAGTTCAGAGTATTATAAAACCACACAAAGAGTTATTAGAATGGCATGAAACAAAAGTGAAGTTTGGGAATGCCTGGATTTAAAAATTATGTAACAATTACTGGCATGTTTATTCAGATGTGTGTATAAAATCCTGCATTAAACAATTTCATTAACATAAACTGCATCTCTTGTTTCTCATTCCTCTCTTCATTAATGTTGATATTAGTGTTACTGATGTAGTGTCGAAGACTTTATATTGTTCTGAGCAGTGTAATAAACATAACGTGCAGGCAGTCCACATTTAAAATGCAACTACGGTTACACCATTTTAAGCTCTAGAACTGTTACCTTTATTTCTTCAGTAGTAAATTTCTGTACTACTAATTTTGAAGATTTCATGAATAATCTGAAGGTGTTTCATGATTTTGGTAAACTTCAGCTGAAAAGTAAAAATGAAGTATTGCAGATAATTTAATGAACCAGCACTCAAAAGATTTCTGAATCCACACCTTGTGCCCTAATTTAAGATGAGGTATGATTTACTTTTAGTGGCCACACCATTTTCAGTCCAGTGTCAACATATGTTACAAATTCTAATGTTAAAATTGTTATGATGCAGAATTGTCTTATATCATCATATTTTGTTTGAATGAAATGCTATAATATCAATGTGTTTTTATATAATGAATATTACATAGTAGACATGCCACAATATATGGATAAAAAAGATGAGTAAGTTTGAAACACATAAAAAAGAATTAAAAACATTTAAAAATCCAAAGTTGTAACTGGACAGAAACTTACCATACTTTTCCAAATACCAAGCACCCTTGAAAATTTGTTTGAATTATACTAGTACTAAGGACCAAAAACAACCACCTATAAAAACATGTGCAATGGCTAACAGAATGGAAATAAAATTAAAAAGTCATAAGAATATGATACTGTACTTACAAATACTGGTATGCTTCAATGCTCTTTGGATTGATCTCGTCATTGCCAGTGTACCAAAAATAACTAACCCAACTGGTGACTACTACTTTGTATAAAATGACCATTCTTTTCCTAGTCTTGGATATAATTTTCACACACATCAGACTTTCTGACCGCAGTGTAATTCCCTTTTTTTCTGCATCTCATAAAATGTTGGTTTCTCAGCATATGTTTAGTTACTTTCATTTATTCATTTCCAACAGCTGTTCTTATCTGTGGCTGAGAATGTTACACAGGCTATAACAAGAACTACATTGCAGTGATTCAACAATAATTAACAAAATATCCCCACTCTTGCCTGTTACAAGAAAGTGAGAATTTTTGAAGGTCAAGCTTCCTGCTCTGCCTAACAGCTGATATAGCATTTAGTGCTACCCAAATCTTGTCCTCAAATATGACATCTCATGCAGGAATTTTACAAAAGTTTGCATGCTATTTGAACAAATACATTATTTCCATCAGGAAGCACTGACAACCTTAAGGAATGTTTGCACTCACATGTTTGGGAACTGACATAGTTCTCCCAATCTTTGAGTAACTTCTGTGAAGGATAATATACGTCTTAGTAGTCAGGATAACCTGGCAAGGGAAATGTCTGAGAGAATGCATCAACTTCTTTACGCAGTTGATTCACCTTCTGTAAGAAGGTATCATCTTCTTTCAGGACACGCTTGAAGTCAACCAGTTTTGGTCCTGAGACTTTTGTCACCATCTTTGACAACTGGAGGCCTGTGAAAACAATTCCATAGGTGTAAATAGGAAGACAATATTAAAATGGATATTGAAGAATTAGGGTGGAATGTTGTGGGCTGGATTCACCTAACTCAGAACAGTGGTAGGCCCTTATAAGCGGGGCTGGGTGGGTGGGGGGGGGGGGGGGGGGGGGGGGAGAGAGAGAGAGAGAGAGAGATAGACACACACACACACAACTACTACTACATGGAATCAATTACTTGATTCCAATGGTTCATCAGTTTTCATCATCCAGTGAAAAACTAAATACAGTGAAACCTCGATGCATCGTTTTCGGCGGGGGTGGGAAATAAAAACGATGAATGCGGGAAAGCATTAAAAATTTAAAAAAAAAACAATGTTTCTCTTTCAAAGTTACTTATTTTTACCAAAAAAGTCTTTAATGGACAACTGGTTTGTCGAAACTTTACGTTTTAGGCCAAACAGAGCCCTTTCCACGTTCAAAATGTTTTCCTCGTCATGTTCACTAATATTATGCGCATAAAAGAACGACTTCACTTTTGCCAATGCTTCGGCAAAACTCGGCACAGCTTCGCCTTTCCTTTGTCCTTGTAATAAAAGCATTTGTGAAGAAATTCACACTGCACATGCCATCTGGCATCGCTGGAACGAAATATGAGTGCACCCTAATTAAAATCGTAAAATTTCTGACAATGAGCACCGCCATTCACTCCAACTATCACCCCTGCACCGCTGACCCTCATTCCAAAAGAATGTGCTGGTTGGGCGACATAACAGGTTACCGCTACTGTTTATTCCAAAAACATTGTGCGTCTTTCGGTATTAATTTATCTCTAAACCCAGCATTTTAAATTCTCAGGAACGATCATTGCGGGAAAATTGTGGGCCGGGACTACGATTTTTGAACGATCGATGCGATAAAACGATAGTTCGAGGAACGATAGAAGCGGGAAAATGTAACATTATTTTATATGGGATGTATTCGGGACCGAACAAAACGGACGATGCATCCGGGAAAACGATAGTTCCGGGAACGATGGATAGAGGTTTCACTGTATATATTTCACACAGACACCATGTTGTTTTATATTCTACAAAAAGAGAGAGATAAGGACATACACAGATATATATATATATTAAAAAGACCTAATGGTACACCAGATTTGAGTACCCTAACTTACATGGCAATAATGTCACTACCTCAGAAGCTGACTGGACATTCAGAAGAATATACCAGCATGTACAGCAGTCTCATATGTGCCCCACCTCAGAAATGGACGCATTCACCATTGCCAAGGCAGGAAGAGGTTAGGGAAGTCTAACAGACCATAAACTGAAGCACTAGCCATTACAATAGCAATCTTGAGAGAGAGGGCTACTACTGTTTCTCCTGAATTCTGACAGCAATTGTATTGCATACACAGAAACATGCAAGTTGCCATAATACATTTACAAGAATTACAACATCATATGCTTACCTCTGTGTATGAATTCCACCACTTTGTCAATATCCTGCTCCTTGAGGCCTCTTGTTGTGAGTGCTGGAGTGCCCAGACGAATTCCACTTGGATTCAATGCACTCTTATCTCCTGGAACTACATAATAAAATTAGTCAGGAATGTTCCAAACTTCAAAACTCTGACAATGTTGGATAAATTTGCATATGCAAAGTATGTTGTAATCTCCCTCACCTGTGTTTTTGTTACAGGCAATAGAAATATCCTCCAGGATTTTCTCTGCTCGTGCACCTGTTATACCAGCTGATCGTAAGTCTACCAAGACAAGATGTACATCTGTTCCACCAGTTACAACTTTGTATCCACATTTTTGCAGACCATCACAGAGTCTTTGTGCATTAGAAACAACCTTTGAAATAAATTACAGAAGAATTAGCAAAAAGAAACAGTACATGAATGAAAACATGAGAGCTTTAGCTTACTTCAACTACAAGCACAAATTATGTTGGTATATCAGATCCCACAGTATGGCCCACTGCTAGCCTGCATCATCATCATCATCATATTCTGTCAATGGGGCCAAAATGGAAATCCAGAGCTATGGGAATTTCCACTTAAATGTGGAATCCTGGCTCCACCCTTTCAAGGCAAACAGAACACCTTTCTGATTTTTATGTATTTGTACTTAGGAAGTGCCATGATACAACACCATGGTAACAGAACCCACTGATTCAACATAACTAATACCTAAATCTACCATTTGTCAAAATCCACATCCACAGCTAGTTCCATCTACCTCCCACCCTTATAACTCATTCTCTTAAGATCCACCTTAATGTCGTCATCCTAGCTTCTGCTCAGTCTTCCAAACTGACATTTCTCAAGGGGTTTCCAGACCAAAATTCTGTCTGGATTCATCTCTCTCATCCTAACCATATCTTCAGCCCATCACAGCCTCCTGAACTTCACTATCCTAAGAAAGGTGTGTAACTATAAATCAATAAGTGCCTTGTTATGCATGGAATACTCTAAATTGCTCATTTTCATCATTCTTCTCATGTCCAAATACTCATAAATCAAAAGTTACAGTGGAACCACGGTTCCGGAGAATTTGACGTAAATACGTCTCTGTAATGTAATGTAAAGTAAAGTAAAGTAATTTTATCTTCAATGTCATTCATTTTGTTACGAAAGCGGATTGTTGACGGCAGTAATGTAACACAACAATGCCGAGTAAACAGATGACGTTTCCTAGGTAACATAACAATGCACGCAAGCTGACCATTGTTGTCGGTCCATATTTACACATTGTTGTCGATTTGTTGATACGGATCTTACACATTTTCCTGTCACTTCTTCGTAACACTTTGTGACCCTTCCATATAGACATATTTACGTCAAAATTTTTATTACAGACTACCAAAGAATACTTACCATAATTCCTAGTCTTACATGGATAAGACCTGGTGATAAGAAGCAAGTAAATAAATAAATATATATATATACATACACACACACACACTCATCTCTTTCACATGATGAGGAAAATGATTCAATTTTAACCTCTATGACTACAATATACACATACTTGTCACTATGGAGAACATTAGAACACCTTAACAGTAGCTCTAGGTACGCTACTGCTGTACTTTCCATTCAACAGTATCCTTAACCATTCTCAGGATATTATGTAATACAAAGTTTTAAGTTCTACCCAAAGGCATTTGTAGACACAAAGGACAATATCTGTCACAAATTGTACTAATGACAATACCTGCTCCTGGTAGTTGCGAAACTCAGGTGTCATTGCTTGCCGCAAGGCAGTAGCAATACCTGCAATGGCATTATTGTGTGGTCCACCCTGCAGCCCAGGGAATACAGCTTGGTTGATCTTATTCTCCAAATCATACACGACTTTCTCACCTGCCTTATTCACAGACCTCACACCTGTAAATATGATATTATAATTAACAGAGTAACATTTCAATTGCTCTCTTTACAAGGCTTGTCATTGCTCTATTTTTTTAGTCATTATGTGTGACTATCAGAAACTCTTACAAACATTTGTGTTAGAACATCAGTAAACAAGCATCCTTACAAAGAAGCCAGAGCAGGGCTTGAAAATAACTTTGTGATACCTGATGGCTTATCTAACAGCCAAATACTTTATGTAGTATTTCCTGGCAGTCACTACAATCCCTTACCATATAATGAAGATACTGCATTATAATCTAATGTGGCCACTATTGGTATGTAACACATCCAATAGTACTTCAAACAATGTGGCTGCAGTGATGTATGCGGTAAGTTATAAAGAAATCCTAAAAAAGATGTCATTATAACAACATGACTTAAATTCTGTGGAAACAGAAACATAACCAATGCTCACACATGAATCATTGTTTCTTAATGTGAGTGGTCAGCATCATGCCCCAGCTGCACTCTACTCCCATGGAAAGGATCCCAGCACCCATTGGATAGGAGACCAGGTGGACACCAGAGTGTCTTCTGAACACACAGGTGAGAGGAAAAATCCTTTGCTTTTGCTGGGGATCAAACTCCAGCTGTCCAGTCCACAGTCAAGTCACTGTACTGACTAAGCTACTTGGCTCATGGTTTAATACCATAAAGGATTACATAAATAACCTGGCAGAAAGAAGACTGCAGAAACCTACCCTTCCTGAAGAATATCATGGCAGCACGAGGCCCACGAAGTGTCTTGTGTGTGGTTGTGCTGACAATGTCACTGTATTCAAAGGGACTGGGAATAATTCCAGCAGCTACCAGACCAGAAACATGTGCCATATCAGAAAAGAGGTATGCGCCGTTCTCATCAGCTATTTCACGGAAACGTTTATAATCCAAGCATCGAGAATAACAACTGATACCTGTAAATATAAGCCTCCAAGTTACATACATCAGCAGGACTAATTCATACAACACACAACAATGCTAAACTCCAACTTCTATAAATAATACAGTGCATTGGTTTAAAACAAAACAGTAAGACAATCTAGAAAAGGACAATGAGTCAGACTTGGTGGTAGCCTTCTATGCAGTCACTGCAATTTCCCTTGAAAACGTATTCCAGCATTCATAATTATTCTGCAAATACTATGTTTGCTGTAAGCAACAATACAAAGCTTTATTTTATCAGTCACAGACCACAAACACAATGTGGCAGACTAGCTATTACAGAATAACAATAACTGAGATTTTCTTACGTATAAATAAGAATGTATATGTTTATAAAATTCTTTTAAAAAATAAGAATAAATTCAAATCTTGGACATGTAGTAGCAGATTTATAATATTAATTTTTATAAAATGTGATTACAGACATTTTGTTTCTATGTATGCACATATAATGTACTATGAAACTAGTATATATACAGATAAAAAAGTAACTTGCATGCACACAAAACACAGTGTTTCATGTAAATCCTGTCGTCTCAATCAAACTGCTAATTCAATTCTAACGGGTTCTGACAGTGGTGGATTACACTTAAAATTATTCTTTGTCTGGACTTTTTCCACGGACCCATATGAGTAGGTACCTCTCGCCTGAAGACAGAAACAGAGTCAGTTTTCAAAACGTCATGGTTTCTTCTTTTAAACAAGGATGAGAGAAAAAGTCCAGATAAAGAATAATTTCAAACTGCTAATTTTTAAGACACTAAGATCCTCCCTAACCATCCATAAAAATTTCTTATTTATTTATGACAATCCATAAATTTGCATTTTATGTGGTTTTTCTTACTATGTTACAACACATAATCAAGTTTACATAACTACTGAATATCACAGCTTAAAAGTTGTGAACAAACACATACATCAAATTGATCCCTCGGAACTAAAAATATTTAATTCATGATACAATGAGTGCAATTATGAAAAGTTACAGTTCTAGAACATGATGCCTAAAAGTAAACTGTACAATTCAGAAACATCAAGACAATTAACATATAATATCTGGCTAATGTAAAATAAAATTATCTAAATATTGCGTTTCTTCTATGTTCTGTTCACTCACCAGCAATTATAAGTTTAGGTTTGAAGAGCTTTGCAGACTGCGCCAGGTTGTCATAGTTAATTAGGCCTGTATTGGGGTCAACCTTGTAAGGCATTGACTCAAAGAAAATTGAAGTTGCAGATATTTTCTTAGTGGCTGTCATAAAGCCATGAGTGAGATGACCACCATCCGGAAGATCGAGACCTAACAAATAAATCATAGGTGTAAAAAATTGATCTTAAACTAAGGAGTACAGAGGATGGATGTGTAACGGGAGTTAAGTAACATCCGTGTGAACTGAAGAACTCAACTAACACACAGACTACTTTCATACTTACTTTGAGCTTGAACAAATAGATTATATGCAATTCATCCATGTAACCAGATCACAAAGATGCAGAATAAATCATGGTACAAAAGCACAGTACACTCAATATATTTCAAGATAAATTTTGTAAACATACAATATTGTTACTGTTTCAATGCTAATTTGAATTTCCATTAAACATATGGTATCTATTGTTGAAATGCCACAAATAATTAATTAGCTTAAATTGCTTAATGATATCACAGAAGACTTTTTTTTACCCTTATCTTCTCAAACACATAATAAAATATTCAGTCTACTATGGCCAGTGCTTTTAATCAAGATCAATGAATGACCTTGATTTATTTACACACAGAAATAATCACTATAGATGTAATGATTTGAAGTTCATGTCATCATATGTTTCCTCAGATGAGGTAGGAATGTATAATAAATTTGTCTGGATAAACAATTTACATACATTAAATGACAAATGTACTATGAAAATAAAACAACCTAGTGATTCTAAGTAAAAAGTGATTTTCAAAATTGCATGCAACATTATATACCCATGATTCTCCCATGTGGCTCTACTATAGCTGTATACACAGCTAGATTTGCTGGAGATCCAGAATATGGCTGGACATTGACACCCCACTCTGCAGGGTCAAGACGGTACAACTCCAGTGCCCTCTTCTGACATAGCAGTTCAATTTCATCAATGAATTCATTGCCACCATAATATCTGCAGAGAGACAAATGCCACATTCAGTGCCTAGAGTAATTGCACACTGTTTGTTCTGTATGACATATGATGTACAAAGGTAATTACCAGGTGGATATAAGAATTTATGTAAAGCACAGCAATCACTTTACATGTTTCTTAACTTATCAGCATAAGACATACTAACACTACTGTAAGCACAATTTATTTTACTTCTGAATCAGTTACAAAAATATAGGGGTCTCCATAAGACACCTACAGAAACATAACACATGCCCCTTTCCACAAATTTTATTTATGGTCATATATTATGATAATTTAAAACTCAAACTTTTATTAACTTGATGTCATTTGGTGATTTAAAAGCTGATGGAAGGAATGCAAAATCAAACAATTTTTAAATAATTTTGCTGAATACAATGACAGACAGTTATTAAGATTTGAGGTTCTCACAGTGATTTTTTAAAGGAAACTAGTCTTCTGGGTTGTTGCAAAAATTCTATTTAGACTTAACACTGTCACACTGTGCAGTAATATGTCTGTATGCCAACATTTTGGAGGAACACACTGCCTCCATCTTCAGTTCCAAAGATGTTCCTCCAAAATGTTGACATAGAGCTAAAATACTAACAAGCCAGAATACACCATCTGTGTCAGAAGGTTGTTTTAAATAAACATTCTCTGTTCCAATGCACTTGTAACAACAAAACTTCAATGATGGTGACCATCACAGGGTTTTCATGCTGGTCATTTTAACATAATTTCAGAATTACATGTTAATGGCTCTATAAAAGGACCAGAAACCTTACTTCAACCCAAAATTATAAATCTATTTAAAATATGGGAATCTGGACCAGATAAGTTGAGTCCATGAAACATTCTCAACACATTAAGTGTAAACAATGATTGATTTTAAATTACATTACATTAGATTAACTTTATTACAAATATTTTTAGATAAACTTGTAACATTTATGTGTCTGCAAAAGACTGTAAGGTTGGAATTTTGGAATACAGTGTGTAAAAGATGATGCTATATGTAATTCAGTAACTTACTACATGTGTAAATGGGCCCACGCTGATGGCCCACATGGACTGAAATGTTGGGTATTAATGAATAATATAAATTCCAGCCAAGAAGTCAATTGCATCCAATGCATTTAAATATTACCTCTGTCCTGGAAGACCTTCTGAATATTTGTTATGCAGACATGAACTCAAGCACTGTAGAACAGGAAGAGATGTGAAGTTTTCTGAAGCAATCATTTCCAGGCCATGTAACTGCCGTTTTTTCTCCTTCTGGATGAGTTCAAATAACTCTGGGTCACTATCCCATACATTTTGGTTCAAAGACAAAACGTCTGAACTCATTATGATTCTAAATTCCACCTGTAAAAATTATCCGAAAAATCCTATATTACAGCAAACAATGAATATCTAGCGGAAAAAGGAAACACGTACAGCAGAAATTATACTGTACCCAACGATTAATATTACTGCTTCTGAAATGCCAAGAAAAACATGTGTAACAAATATCTATTATATTCTATCACCAAAGTAAAGGTCATGGCTCAGTGATAACCTTAGTTTCTGACGTCGATCTCCAACTGCATCATACTATTTACAAATTGGCCTTGAGATTGCGGTTAAGAAATTGTGCTTTTTGAGTCTTAGGAAACAAACTTTAAATCAGTTACTTACGTTATAAATTCACAGAATCTCAATACTGTTTGGGAATTTTTTGACGTTCACTGCTGTCAATCCTCTGAATTTCAAACGTTTCAGAATCATGTGCAACGCAAAAGCAGCTTCACAAACCACCTGTTAAATTTAGTACCCGGCGGTTTCTCTCTGTTAAATCAGTGGTATACGAGTACAGAACCAACCAATCAGGTCCCATTACGTTAGAAGATTGGTGAACATAACAAACGTGAGCAGATTATGCTTTAATGCCACAAATGACCGAAGTAAATATAACATTTTCGTCGTTTGCTTAACATGACAGACGATAAAATCTTTCAGAAGAGACAAGGATGTGATTGTTAACATGATGGTCACAGTCGCTAGCATTTCTATTGCTCATTTACGTATATGGTGTACACATTCCAGTTGTTCCTATTACTGTCACATGCAAACAATTGCAACTATAGGGAAGTGCGTTCAAGTTTATTAAAAACAAAGGATTAACAAAAATATGAGTAGCAACACGATTTGACTACTTGAGTCCATCACATTTTATTGTCATCTGCATTCTGGAGAAGACATTTTAGCTTGGCTCATTACAGCTTAACTTGTACAAGGTATTTGTTCACTGACAAAAAAGGTGCAAATGGTATGTGCTCCAGTTACAGGCACACTGCTTGTACTGTGGAAATTTTTATTTTGGATGGTAGTACTGAGCACAGCATTTCATAATAACCTCCCTCCCAGCCTTCCAAAATCAAGGTACCAAGGCAAATTACATAAACTATACATTCTGGAACATGAACCTTCTTATACTAGATTAAAGGTACAAAAGGTAGATTGAAAGATGTTTGCAAACCACCAGCCACAATTAACTTCAGAAGCAACACTGCAAGTACAATGGATCCAGAATTTTATAGAACAAATTTTGCTGGTAGTTAGGAATTTCTCATTTTGTATGTTTCCATATATGTAATGTTAGGAAATCGACGGCACTCCTTTCTTTCTCATGATCACCTTCCTCTTCTCAACATAAATGGTAAACAACCATCACAGCAATACATTAGCACCTCAAGCAGGTCTAGTTACATAAGAACTTATTAAAAATTTAAAGAAAATTAGCTTCTCTTAGAATCATGCAGAAATATATCAAAATCCAACAGTTTAGGATAAAGATGAATAAGGAGGCAGGTATGATCAAACAATACTCATATAACATCTGTGATAAGGCTTATAATCAAATAATTTTAATTTCTATTACAATTCATATTTAAATTAGCCTGCCAAGAATCAATTTTATTTATTATCATAATATCATACAAAGTAAAATAACCAAAATCCTTACAGTAAATGGTTTTACAGACTGTACTTTTATGCACCAGTGGCTCAATCCAGCTTTGGTGTTCTTTACCCTATCCAGTCAGCACATCTTCCACTTATATTAACCCTCTCTAAAATAATATTCCTATACTGTTATATTTTTTTAAACAAAATGTAAGTATACACAATGGCTTATTATTAGTTTCTTATTTTGCTTTGGAACGTCACAGTCTTAATTTCCTGGCAAATTCCAAGTTAAAATGGCCACAAATGTAGTCAGGCAATTAACAAATACAAGTTATGAAGGTCATGATTAAATTATCACACAGATTATATTAGCTTCTCCACACTACAATGCGCTCATACTTCCAGGCATACAATTTTTAAATTGATAATTTAAACACTCTTATATTTATGCAAGCAAAATCATCATTCATGATACCAGTTGGCCACTGAATGTAGTTTGATACAAAACATGCAACTTCCTCTCTCCACAGCAGCAACACGTCTAACCAAACACCTAACATCCTTTAACAGCTGTGTTATTATTTACGATCCAGATATTAACAAGAGTTATTTAAGATACAGAGAATTATTACTACATATTCAACAAAGTGTCTATCAACTTTCTTAATTCCTCAAATTGCAACAAAATAAAGAGATTGGTTAATCCCACATTTGTGATACAAGACAAAAATGTGAAGGTATACAGGTAATACGGAAGTGAATGTTTGAAACATATTATGATTGCTATCATAACAGGGTTGCCAGGTCCCTTGTACAATTGCTGTCAACTTAGTCCGTAAGGAGCTATCAACTGTTTACATGGAAGATCAGATTCAAACTCTTAGTACGTTTTCTTCAACTGAAAGAAAATCAACCTTTATTATAATAATCACCAAGTTATATCAGACATAAAATAGATGGGAAAAGTAACAAAAATATAACTCTGATATAGAACTATGTCAGAGCTCAATATGTACAACATTCATGCTTCAAAACAGTGTCAGGTATAGGGCGAAGTACAACACTGGACTTCAGTATGGCATAGCTGGATTATATATGAAACAAATCACAGATAACATATGTAATCCGAAATTCTAACAGTAACATGTTTTCATAAAGAATGATGTAAACCATTATGGAGAATGCAAATGGGTTAATTCCTGTGAGTCCACACCCACACCCCTGGCAACCCTCTCCACAACAGGTATTATCATAATGCATTAAGAAAACTTCTTTTCACAGCAAATGCTTTGAGCAAGAGTATCTGTGCAGTCAACATACTAAAGACTATGCCACGTTACAGACATCTTACATACTTCAGTCCAGTTACAATTCTTTTTCCATGGCTGCTCTGACCAATGCCAAACACATACTTACAAAGACAACTGAGGCACACTGCTGCGAGACTGATCCTCTGCTTATCACTAAAATCATACACTAGAAGTTATGTACAAATTAGAAATATGTATCAGTTATGTACAAAATTATGTGAATTATTTTTAAACTAAGAAGTTTTTCCTTTTTATGTATTACTGATGGATAGGGTAAGTTTTCCATATTAAATCCAAAGACAATAATTTTGTTTCAAATGAAAATAAAATAAATGGAGAAAACAGCATTATACTTACTACATAAACATGTGATTTTTATTTTCATTAAACATA